TGGCACACAAGGCCTACCCAACTGCACCACCCAATCTCCTCAAGTTGCTGCTGAAGGATCAGTTCGTAGATGCTTTGGACAGTCCACAACTTAAGATACAAGTGAAGCAAGCACACCCCTCTACAATGCAGGATGCAATGGCCAGACTCTCGAATTTGAATTCTACGTTAAGTCAAGCACAGAGGTACCAAGGTTGGTACAGTCATATGGATTCAAGGCCAGAAAAGGTAAGCTTTCAGAGAAGTTTGAGGGACTTTGCTGGCACTGTAATAAACCTGAGCTCAATGCTGGAAACTTCTACACAGGGGAGATGATACAGCAGGAAAGGCTGCTACCCAGAAAGGCTGTTGGAACTATGGAAAGCATGGACATTTGAGGAGCCAGTGTAGGAAGAACATTACCAACAAGTCAGCCTCAAGGAGAACAGTAGTGGTTGGTGTTGAGGGACATTCACCAACCCCCATCGTGAAAGTCCCAACAGCTAGGTGTAAAATGTATGTGACAGGAAAGCTAGATGGCCAAAGGTGCAACTTTGTCGTAGACTCTGCGTCTCAGCAAACCCTTGTGAGCATCAAGGTGTTAAATCACGAAGGAGTACCAGAAGCCATACAGAAGCTTTATGGTGTGTCAGGACATTCTACAAGATTGTGGGGACCAGTGTGGGTAACTATTGAGCTCATGGACATAAAGGACAGACAGAAAGTATACTTGGCTGACATTGAAGACCAATGCATATTAGCATTGGACTATCTACTACCAAGGAAGTTTGTAATTGATTTTGATAAAATGACCTTTGGGAATAACAAAGGCCAAGTTCTGGTAACTGTTAAAAGAGAGGTTGAACTAATTAAGTGCCATCAAGCTGAAGTTAAGCCGACTGAAAGAGTTGATGATAATGAAGTGGAACCAAATACAGATATCATAGCAGAACAGGAGAAAGACCAAGATTTGAAGCCTATAATTGATTTCCTAAAAATAAGTGTTTTGCACCCTGCTTGGGAGAAGGTGTCTAGTCTAAGCCCTGTGACAAAGCACTATTGGGCACAATGGGATCAGTTAAAGCTTGAAGATGGTATTCTTGTACGAAGATGGGAGACTGCAGATGGGAAAGTGACGACTTGACAAACAGTTATACCGAGGAAGTTACGGGAAGTTGTGCTGCATCAATCCCATGATAATTTAACAGGAGGGCATCTCGGAATTAAGAAGACATTGAGTCACATACGACAAAGATTTTACTGGATAGGTATGAGGGAAGATGTGGAAGAATGGTGCAGTACATGTAGTGCAAAAAGGGGACCCAAGCATAAGGGATGCCCGCCT